CCCAATAGGTAAGTTTTTATCCCCCCCATCCACCCGATTTCCTGGTTTCTCATGTCCTTACCTCGTGCCTATGTGTACCCATTGTTTAGCTGCCACTTATTAGTAAGAACGTATGGAGTTTGGTTTTCCATTCCTGAGATACTTCACTTAGGATAATGATCTCCAGTTCCATCCAAGTTGCTACAAACAACATTATTTCATTCCTTTTTATGGCTGAGTGGTACTCCATGGTATATATATGCCACATTTTCTTTAGCCACTCATGAATTTATGGGCACTCAGGTTGATTCCACATCTTTGTAACTGTGAATTATGTTGTGATAAACATTCAAGGGCAGATTTCATTTGATAAAGTGACTTCATTTCCTTTGATACCCAGCAGTGGGACTGCTGGATCAAATGGTAGGTCTACATTTTTTTCTTTGTCCAATCTCCATATTGTTTTCCATAGAGGTTGTACTAGTTTGCAGTCCCACCAACAGTATATAAGCATTCCTTTCTTTCTGCATCCATGCCAGCATCTATTGTTTTTTGACTTTTTAATAATGGCCATTCTAATAGGGCTAAGGTGGTATCTCATTGTAGTTTGAATTTGCTTTTCCTTGATGATTAGTGACGTTGAGCATTTTTTCATATGTTTCTTGGCCATTTGTCGATCTTTCAAAAACCTTCCGTTCGTGTCTTTTGCCCACTTTTTGATGGTTTTTTTTTTTTTTCCTTGCTGATTTGTTTGAGTTCTTTGCGGATTGTACATATTAGTCCTTTGTTGGATGTATAGTTTGCAAATATTTTCTCGCATTCTGTAGGTTGTCTATTCACTCTGCTGATTATTTTCTTTGCTATTTACAAACTTTTTAATTTAATTGAGTCCCATTTGTTTATTTTTGTTGTTGCAGTATTTGCCTTTGGGGTCTTACTCATAAATTCTTGACCTAGGCTGATGTCTAGAAGAGTTTTTCCTACGTTTTCTTCTATTACAGAATCTTTATGATTTCATACCTTACATTTAAGTCTTTTATCCATCTTGAATTAATTTTTGTATATGGCGAGAGAGAGGGGTCCTGTTTCATTTTTCTACATGTGACTATCCAATTTTCCCAGCACCATTTACTGAATAGAGCTTCCTTTGCCCAGTGTTTGTTGTCTGTTTTGTCAAAGATCAGTTGGTCATAGATAGATGGTTTTATTTCTGGGTTCTCTATTCTGTTGCATTGATCTATGTGTCTACTTTTATATCAGTACCACACTGTTTTGGTTACTATAGACTTGTAGTATAATTTGAAGTCAGGTAATGTGATGTCTCCAGATTTGTTCTTTTTACTTAAGATCGCATTGGCTCTTTGGGCTCTTTTCTGGTTCCAGATGAAGCTTAGCATTATTTTTTCTAGATCTGTGAAATATAATGTTAGTATTTTGATGAGGATTGCATTGAATCTGTAAATCACTTTGGCAAGTGTGGACATTTTAACAATGTTGATTCTGCCAATCCATGAGCAAGGGATGTTTTTCCACTTGTTTCTATCATCTGCAATTTCTTTCATCAGTGTTTTGTAGTTCTCCTTGTAGGTATTTTATGTTCTTTATAGCTATTGTGGATGGTACTGAGTCCTTGATTTGACTCTTAGCATGACTATAATTAGTATGTAGAAATGCTATTGATTTGTGTACATTGATTTTATAACCTGAGATTTTGCTAAATTTATTTGTAAATTCCAGAAGTCTTTTCATGGAATCTTTAGGGGTTTTTTTAGATACAAGATCATACTATCA